GTGAAGGAGAAAAATTACCTGTTTGAAAAATTTTATAATAGAAACAAAGAAACTTTTTTTTTTTTCAAATTTTTTGGAATTTTTTTGTTTATAGCACAAAAAAGTAAAGTGCTCAGCGGCGATTAAATACCACCAAAAGAAAGCTCTATTTGTGAGAAAAAAATGATAAAAAATTCATATGGGTACAATGTTGCATGACCGTGCAATTGTCATTCAAAGTGTGAGAGCGCTGAAAGCTGAAAATTGGCCTGGTAAAGAAGGGGGTGACAGTGCCCGGTAGGCGAGGGGTTAAGGCAGATCGCTGATTTTCTGGGGCAGTTCTGCATCTTGGACCTCAGTACCACCAATGCTAAGTCCGTGGCCATGTCCGGGGATCATGGAATCACCCTTTGAAGACCCCTGATGTCTTATCGGCTTTCCAATGCAAGATCTTGCTCAAGTAGCTTCTTCCCCGTCCAGACCGGTCATAGAACGTGACACCAGAAACACTTTTACACATTGCTCCGGGTTCTCAGTACGGCAGGGAGATCAGTGTAAGGATGTTCGCTGATCTCCTTCCCCTCTATCCAACGGCGCCCACCATGGATCTGCAAGGAACAAGGAGCCAAGGAAACATGGCGATTCGGTCATTGGATTGTTTCCATCTGAAAGCCAACAGACAACTTTGTCAGATACTGTGTAACCCCACCCCCCACCCCCACTGCTGCCGATGTATGGCATATGTCAATGGCAGCAAAAGGGTCACATAACATGCTTGGGGGGGAGGGGGCACCTTAAAGCTGCATGTGAAGATAAAAATGGTTTGGGGTTCCCCTTAAAATCCACACCAGACCCTACCCAGACATGCAGATTGGTTGGTCAGGAAAGAGAACCAATCTAACCAGATCAGGCCACATGCTTTCCAACATTGGGAGGTTACCCTTCAACAGCAAAGGGGGGGGGGGCAGCAAAGCCTCCCTCCCTCATGAATGTTGAGGGAACCAGGACCTCATGTCTGCGCCCTGTGCCCAAAATGGATGTGGGAGGTCTGTGAAAGGTGGGTTAACCCAAAGAGAAACCCTGTGGAGCAACCCTAACGAGAAACCTTCTGGATGAGCCTTAGAGATGAACTCTCTGAAGGATCTCTGGGGGGGATCTATGGGGGGGTCTGTGAGGGTGTGTGGGGGGGTTATTGGAATCTGGAAGCTTCCTTTATGGTTCCTCCAGAGAGAAACCCTCTGGAGGAACCCTAAAGAGAAACTCTCTGGAGGAACCCTAAAGAGAAACCTTCTGGATGAGCCTTAGAGATGAACTCTCTGGAGGAACCCTGGGGGGGGGGGGTCTGTGAGGGTGGAGGGGGGTTATTGGAATCTGGAAGCTTCCTTTATGGTTCCTCTAGAGAGAAACCCTCTGGAGGAACCCTAAAGAGAAACCTTCTGGATGAGCCTTAGCGATAAACTCTCTGGATGAACCCTGGGGGGATCCGTGAGGGTGGAGGGGGGTTATTGGAATCTGGAAGCTTCCTTTAGGGTTCCTCCAGAGAGAAACCCTCTGGAGGAACCCCAAAGAGAAACCCTCTGGAGGAACCCTAAAGAGAAACCTTCTGGATGAGCCTTAGAGATGAACTCTCTGCAGGAACCCGAGGGGGGGTCTGTAGGGGGTCTGTGAGGGTGGAGGGGGGGGGTTTGGAAGCTGGAAGCTTCCTTTAGGGTTCCTCCAGAGAGAAAACCTCTGGAGGAACCCTACAGATAAACCCTCTGGAGGAACCCTAAAGAGAAACCCTCTGGAGGAACCCTAAAGAAAAACCTTCTGGATGAGCCATAGAGATGAACTCTCTGGAGGAACCCTGGGGGTGAGATCTGTTGGGGGTCTGTGGGGGTTGGGGGGTTTATTGGAATCTGGAAGCTTCCTTTATAATAAGGGGCCCCCAGATATCAACCCGCCAGGGGAACGATTACAGGGTGCCCTGGCACCCAAAGAAATGTAAAAGAAAAAAAAATACCCACACCACGATAAAGTCTTTTATTGCAAATAAAAATGTCAAACAAATTCATCCTGAGCCCGAAGCTCACCCCTAGTGGAAGGATATTCAGTTATGGTTCAAATGTTAAATTGCTGGTTCAGGGAATGGGAGTCTCTGTCAACGGCAAATGTGACATGACCAAAGGCAGTGGCGGCCATTGTAGCTGCTCAAAATGTCCTTTTTTTCCCCTCTTTTTTAATAAGAATGAAGTTGGCAGGGAAGGATCTGAGCGTCTGTTTTCTCTGTTCGGACTCATTCACCATTTTCCGTTCCCGCAGCCAGTGGTGAGGCACCAGCCAGGATCTGAGGTGATGATCGCGGTCGCCGCTGCCATTGTATGGGGAGGAGAGAGCGCCGAGTAGCAGAAAATTGGACACCTCACCATTTTCCTGGGACGTTCTGATTGTCCGAGATAAACGCTGACTCTGGAGAGTGGAAAGGCAATCGACAGTTCCTACAGCCATAAAAAACATATAAAAATACCCGTCACTCGTGAACCTTCTGAGGTCCAGAAATCATTTCTGCATTGAATCGAGCTTAATGCTCATGTCAGCTGAAAGCTGAAGTCTGACTTTTAGGGGGGAGTGGCTGCTTTATAAGATGATGGGAAGAAGGGGGGGGGGGGTACATAGGTGACAGCATGGTCATTCAGTGCTGAGCTGTCATCCATGCATCCATACTCCTGACCCATCGCTCCATGCATCCATGCTCCTGACCCAATGTCCATACTCCTAACCCATCACTCCATGCATCCATGTTTCTGACCCAACACCCATGCTCCTGACCCATTGCCCTTGAGTCCATGCTCCTGACCCATTGCCATTACTTCTGACCCTTCACCCATGCGTCTATGCTCCTGGCCCATTGTTCATACTCCTGACTTATCGCTCCTTGTATCCATGCTTCTGACCCATCACACATGATCCTGACTCATTGCCCATGAGTCCATGCTCCTGACCCATTGCCCATATTTCTGACTTATTGCCCATGTGTCTATGCTCCTGACCCATGGTCCATACTCCTGACCCATCCTCCAGGCATCCATGCTCCTAACCCATTGTCCATACTCCTGATCCATCGCTCCATGCATCCATGTTTCTGACCCATCACCCATGCTCCTGACCTATTGCCAATACTCCTGACGCATACTCTATACATCTATGCTCCTGGCCCATTGTTCATACTCCTGACCCATCGCTCCATGTATCCATGCTTCTGACCAATCACCCATGATCCTGACTCATTGCCCATGAGTCCATGCTCCTGACCCATTGCCCATATTCCTGACTTATTGCCCATGTGTCTATGCTCCTGACCCATTGTCCATACTTCTGACCAATCCTCTAGACATCCATGCTCCTGATCCATTGTTCATACTTCTGACCCATCGCCCATGCATCTATGCTCTTGGCCATTTTCCATGAATCCATACTCTTATCCCATTGTCCATGCATCTATACTCCTCTCCCATACCCTATGTGCTCCTGACCCAATGCCCATACTCCTTACCCATTGCCCATACATCCATGCTTCTGACCCATCGCCCATAATCTTGACGTATTGCCCACACATCCATGCTCCTGACCCATTATTCATACTCTTGACTCATCGCCCATGCATCCATGCTTCTGACCCATTGCCCATACCCCTGACCCATCGCCCATGTGTCTATGCTCCTGAGCCATCCTCCATGCATTCATGCTCCTGACCCATTGTTCATATGCCTGACCCACTGCCCATGCATCTATGCTCTTAACCATTGTCCATGCATACATACTCCCGATTCATCACCCATAAGTCTATGCTCCTGACCCATTGTCCATACTCCTGACCAATCATCCATGCATCCATGCTCCTCACCCATTGTCCATACTCCTGACCCATTGCCCATGCAACTTTGTTCTTGACCATTGTCCATGCATTCGTACTTCTGTCCCATTGTCCATAAGTCCATGCTCTTGACCCATTCCATGCGTCAATACTTCTCTTGACCCATCATCCATACTCCTGACCCATCACCTATAAGTCCATGCTCCTCACCCATTGTCCATGTGTCAATACTCCTCTTGACCCATCATCCATACTCCTCACCCATAGCCCATAAGTCCATGCTCCTCACCCATAGCCCATAAGTCCATGCTCCTCACCCATTGTTCATGCGTCAATACTCCTCTAGACCCATCATCCATACTCCTGACCCATCGCCTTGTGAGCTTTTAAACCGTTTCCCATAACCAGGTCAGTAATGGAGTCAGGCCTAACCCGAGATAAAAAAAACTGGTTCTCTGCTTCTGCCTGATATAAAGGGGAGGGGGAAGGGAGGGGAGGGGGTTCCACAAGCTGTGCGGAGATTGGACGAGAATTGGGCTCTTGGTTGCGGTCGGGATTCTATTGATGTAACGATCGGTTTGTCATTTTGTCACAATGAACGTTGAAGTGTTTCACACTTTTTTTGGTGGGGGGTGGGGGGGTCATCAGTCTGCCATTCCTGCGGCGTAGTTGATAACCGCTCTTGCTGCCAATAAGTAATCCCTCGGTGCATTATGGGACGGTGATGGCTCAGCTGTCGGGACTCATTGCTTAAATTACTATTTTTTTTTCCAGCGCAACCAGAACTGTGGTAATTGACCCGCGCAGTGCGACCGATTACCATGATAATGACTTGCGGCCCGATCCTGGGAACACCCACTGCTGGGGCGCAAGGGAGGGAAGGGAGCGATGGAACAGAGACTGGGGCAAGCCGCCATTATTAGACTTCTGAAGGACCCCAGCTGAGAATTGCTGGGACTTGTAGCTTTTGTTGGAGGGATGAACGTAACAAGATGGCATTCTTCAGGTAGGCGGGGCTTCTGTTATGCAGATTTGGTTTGAACCAACATAACTGCCAGGGAAATTAGCATTTTCAGAAAGCAGTCAACAATGGTAGTCTACACCAGGGGTATGGAATTATAATTCGAGGCGGTCCGGTCACTAAAATGTTCTTCTGGCCGAGGTCCGAATAGGGTGTGTCCATCAGTGCGCCCTCTTACATTACGTGTCGCCATCAGAGTGCAACTTTACATCAGGTGCGCCCATCAGAGTGCCCCTTTACATCAAGTATCCCTATCAGAGTGCCCCCTTACATCAGGTGTGCCCATCAGAGTGCCCCTTTACATCAGGTATCCCTATCATGTAGGAGCTGTGTAGGTGTGCCCATCAGAGTGCCCCTTTAGATCGGGTGTGCCCATCAGAGAGCCCCTTTACATCAGGTGTGCCCATCAGAGTGCCCCTTTACATCAGGTATCCCCACCAGAGTGCCCCTTTACATCAGGTATCCCGATCAGAGTGCCCCTTTACATCAGGTGTGCCCATCAGAGTGCCCCTTCACATCAGGTGTGCCCATCAGAGTGCCCCTTTACATCAGGTATCCTTATCAGAGTGCCCCTTTACACCAGGTATTCCCATCACATTGCCCCCTTACACTCAAAGTACCCCTTTCTATCATATTTCCCCATCAGAGTGCCCCTTTACATCAGGTATCCTTATCAGAGTGCCCCTTTACATCAGGTATCCTTATCAGAGTTAGTGCCCCTTTACACCAGGTATTCCCATCACATTGCCCCCTTACACTCAAAGTACCGCTTTCTATCATATTTCCCCATCAGAGTGCCCCTTTCTATCACATGTCCCCTTCAGTTCCCCTTTACCACAGTATGTGCCCACCTGTGCCCCTTAAAATAACATGTGCCCATCAGAGTGCCCCTTAACATAAAATGTACCCATCAGAGTTCCCTTTAACATAAAATGTGCCCATCACAGTGCCCCTTTTACATCAGGTATCCCCATCACATTGCCCCCTTACACTCAATGTACCCTTTTCTATCATGTTTCCCCATCAGAGTGCCCCTTTCCATCACATGCGCCCATCAGGGCCCCTTTACCACAGTATGTGCCTATTTGTGCCCCCTTAACAGTCAATGTGCCCATCAAAGTGCCCCTGTAAGACCCCGCCCTACCTTGAGGGCAGACAGGAGCTGTGCCGGGATCCTTGCTGGACCCCTGTGTACAGGCAGGGAGCTGGAGCCGGAGAGAGACAGTGAGCTGAAAGGGGCGGGGCACACAGGTGATGTCATGTTGCCGTGATAACCGCCCCTCTCAGTGGCAGATCTGTCATTGCGGGCTGGTGGGCTCGCTGTCTGGGCAGCAGTGCTGCTGGGGCCGTTCGCGGACCGCGGTCCACCATTTAGTGACTGCTGGTCTACACAGCTCCTACATGGAAGGGTCACTAATGGAACTGACATATACATCTCTGGTCTACCAGAGGAGGGTGAACTCTGTGTCCTTCACAAATGAATTGCCGGGGGGGGGTCTCCTTCAAGTGGACCTGTCATCAGATATATTTTTCATGTTAAATGTAACACTCCGGGTACTTATTACCTCTCAGAGGAAAGGCTTTCATCTGCTTTTCTCTCAAGAAGGATGGTTGTTCAGGCATCACTCATAATAGCAATCTGTTAACTAAACTAGGAGAATACAACCCTGTATATCTTAAAGCCTGTACAATTCTTGGCTGTATTCACAAATGTCTGACACACAGATTAGCCCCCCCCCCCCCCCCCCCCCCCCCCCCCCCCCCCCCCCCCGCTGCAGCCTCTCACCTTGCTACAAAGTTACAAAGCTGCGGTAAACCCTCTGGATGACCCCTAGAGATAAACCCCCTGGAGGAACTCTCTGGAAGAACCCTACAGAGGAACCCTCTGAAGGATCCCTAGAGAGGCACCATCTGAAGTAATCATAGAAAGGAACCCTCCAGATGAATCCTAGAGAGAAACCCTCTGGAGGAACTCTAAAGAGAAACCTTTTGGATGAGCCTTAGAGATGAACCCTCTGGAGGAACCCTCTGAAGGAATCCTAGAGAGAAACCCTATGGATGAACCCTCTGAAGGAACCCTAAAGAGAAACACTCTGGAGGACCCCTAGAGAGGAACCCTTTGGGTGAACCTTAGAAAGGAACTCTCTGGAGGAACCCTAGAGAGGAACCCTCTGAAGAAACCCTAGAGAGGAACCCTCTGGATGAACCCTAGAGAGAAACCCTCTGGAGGAACGCAAAAGAGAAACCTTCTGGATGAGCCTTAGAGATGAACTCTCTGGAGGAACCCTCTGAAGGAATCCTAGAGAGGAACCCTCTGGAGGAACCCTAGAGAGAAATCCTATGGATGAACCCTCTGAAGGAACCCTAAAGAGAAACCCTCTGGAGGTACCCTAGAGAGGAACCCTCTGGGTGAACCTTAGAAAGAAACTCTCTGGAGGAACCCTAAAGAGGAACCCCCCGAAGGATCCCTAGAAAGGAACCCTCTGAAGAAACCCTAGAGAGGAACCCTCTGGATGAATCCTAGAGAGGAACTCTCTGGAGGAACCCTAGAGAGGAACCCCCCGAAGGATCCCTAGAAAGGAACCCTCTGAAGGAACCCTAGAGAGGAACCCTCTTGATGAACCCCAGAGAGGAACCAATTGAAGGAACCCTAGAGAGGAACCCTCTGGAGGAACCTCTTAGAGAGGAACCCTCTGGAGAAACCCTAGAGAGGAACCCTCTGGATAAATCCTAGAGAGGAACTCTCTGGAGGAACTCTAGAGAGGAACCCTCTGGAGGAACCTCTTAGAGAGGAACCCTCTGGAGAAACCCTAGAGAGGAACCCTCTGGATAAATCCTAGAGAGGAACTCTCTGGAGGAACCCTAGAGAGGAACCCCCCAAAGGATCCCTAGAAAGGAACCCTCTGAAGGAACCCTAGAGAGTAACCCTCTTGATGAACCCCAGAGAGGAACCATTTGAAGGAACCCTAGAGAGGAACCCTCTGGAGGAACCTTAGAGAGGAACCCTCTGGAGAAACCCTAGAGAGGAACCTTCTGAAGGAACCCTAAGGGAGAACCTCCTGGAGGAACCCTAGAGAGAAATCCTATGGATGAACCCTCTGAAGGAACCCTAAAGAGAAACCCTCTGGAGGTACCCTAGATAGGAACCCTCTGGGTGAACCTTAGAAGGAACTCTCTGGAGGAACCCTAAAGAGGAACCCTCTGAAGAAACCCTAGAGAGGAACCCTCTGGATGAATCCTAGAGAAGAACTCTCTGGAGGAACCCTAGAGAGGAACCCCCCTGATGGATCCCTAGAGAGGAACCCCCCGAAGGATCCCTAGAAAGGAACCCTCTGAAGGAACCCTAGAGAGGAACCCTCTTGATGAACCCCAAAGAGGAACCATTTGAAGGAACCCTAGAGAGGAACACTCTGGAGGAACCTTAGAGAGGAACCCTCTGGAGAAACCCTAGAGAGGAACCTTCTGAAGGAACCCTAAGGGAGAACCTCCTGGAGGATCCCTAGAGTGGAATCCTCTGAAGGAACCCAGGGTTTCCACAGATCCCTGTTTGGGAATGGCTGATCTATTTCAAGATCTACCTGAAGACCTTCATGTCATATTCTTGGCTCTGTTATTGCCTTCCTTAGATGTTTGAGTGTTCCTGTACACACTTGCTGCTTCTAGCAGCAAGAGCAGCAGCCCCCCATATTGGCCATGGCAGATGTAAAGACCTGTGACCATCAGTGCAATGAACTCTGCTTGTCTGCAGCAGACTGATGACATAATCTCAGCCTAGGCAAAATCACTGACTGGAGCTCCAGGATGGCTTTTATGGATAATGGTGGAGCTTTTCTGAACAATGATCCTGCTGCGGTACATTTCGACATGCCGTAGATTAGTAAGTTACTTTGGGCGTTTGGGGTTCATTTTAAGGGTTGGATCTCCAGTCTATTTAAAGTGAAGCTGTACTCTGATCATTCATGGTTCACTGGATAGCAGGCAAGGTGTGGAGCCACGCATTGTATGTCTTTGTCCAAGATTGGCCCCCCACCTTGGGGTAGTTTCACTTCTGTTGTCCCAGTTCTCATAATATAAAAAAAAATTTAAATTCCAGGATAATGAGGGCTCATATTAAATCAGCAGCCATGCAAACCCAGGAACACAACATCAGAGACATCATTAGTTAGGGTAACCCTCCAGCATCCACCAAACACTGAAATATCAGTTTTGAGGGGTTGTGACCCTTTCACATCAAGGTCACCATGGTATGTTCCTGGAGATCCCCATTCTGCGTGGGGCTCTATCGTATGGCTCCTTTGTCCCTGGCTCAGAGAACGGAATCCCCTTCATAGCGCGGTGCCGGCTGGCCAGCTCTGAGAACCTTCATCTCACTTCTCAAGTCTTGCAGGAAATTGCTTTCACACAGTCTATACGATAAGTCTCATTAACTTCTAATTTAGCCCTTTTTTTTTTCAATAACTGCAGCTTTGTTGATAGAAAAGCGACAGCGAGGGGGCAGGTGGGCCACCAAGAAAAAAGGAGAAAAATAATAAAATACTCTTCACACTTCCAAGTTTTAATTGATGTTTACATGTCGCTAATTCATTCCAGGTTGCTCTCTAGCAGCGCCTTTCAATTATCAGAGCACAGAGTGTAATAATATGGGGGGGAAGGCGCCTTCTGGGGTGGCTGATGGTTAACTCCCGCCAAGCCCGAAGAGTGCAGCCGCGAGATGTGCCTGACGGTCCCTTTGGCGGTGAAGTAATTAAATTGGATGAAGGAGAAACAAGGTGGCACTAAATTACACCTCAGTTTTATGTTTCCAATTTGTGACATGTGACTGTTCGTGTAATAACGCTTCTATTGTGCCGCCATCACCAGCGCTCCTGCCATTCGGCCATTTTTATTGCTCTACCTAGAGGGCAGTTTGGATTGAGATGGCCACATGATGAATGAAACCAAACATTGGACTGCCAATGCTGCTCAACTCCACCTATCTGACCACCTTCTCCATCAAACCTTCTGTATGTGAGAGACAGTTGGGAGCCTGCAGGGGGCATGCTTGAGAATTACTAACAGGTGGGCAAGAGGGGTCCCTAGATCAACGACAGTTAGATTCTAAGTTACTAGTGACTTCTGGAGGCTGCTGTAGTATTACAGGAGGTCCATAGGGACTACTGTCATGTTTACCAGATTGTTGTAGACAAGTCTCAAGTGACTGAACTATAGGAACCCTGATGGTTCTGGTTTGCTTTGCTGCAAACTGACACCGGGTCATGGACCTCAGGATTACCCCACGAGAAGGTGGCTGGAATGGAAAGGCTATGGTGTAGAGACTGTTCATTGGACTGCAGATGAAAACGTAGTCATGTCCAGGCAGGGATCAAGGCAGGTGACAGGCAAGAGAATCGTCAGGTCCAGGCAGAGGTCGAAGCAGGTGGCAGGCAAGAGAATCGTCAGGTCTAGGCAGAGGTCGAAGCAGGCGACAGGCAAGAGAATCGTCAGGTCTAGGCAGAGGTCGAAGCAGGCGGCAGGCAAGAGAATCGTCAGGTCAAGGCAGGGATCAAAGCAGGCGACAGGCAAGGGAATCGACAGGTCTAGGCAGAGGATGAAG